GGTCACGGGACCGGGCCGCTGTGTCCGCCGCCACTGCCGCCGCAGGCACTGGGGGCCGCGGGTGACGTCAGCCGCACCGCTCCACGCCCCCCTCTCGCCCAGTCCCGGGTGACCCCCGCCCACCCGCCCGCCCACGTCCTGGGCGTCAAGAACCGGATTTCTAGGACCCCAGGCTCCCCCCAGCCCGGCCCTCCTATCTGGAATCAGCTGCCCGACCCCGCCCCTCGGGACTTAGGATGCGCACTTGTCCAGGGCCCGCAAGATCAGGGAGTGATAGTGTCAGGCACTCAAGGCCACCAGAAAATGGTCAGAGGTGTGGCCAAGGCATGGGAACAGGGACCCTGAGGCTTTCCCAGCTCTCCTTAAATCCGATCCCACTCACAACGGCTCTGGTCCATAAACTAGAGGAGCAGTGCCTACCTGCCCAGTAGGGTTCCCTGGAGGGGATCCCACATGTGCTCACATAGGTTCATGCTCGACTGCCCATCTGGCTGGAAGAAAGGGACTGCAGGCAGGCCTGAGCCTGCAGTGGCGCCACTGTGGAAGCAAAAGAACTTTCCTGCCCTGGGGCCAGTGTCCAGGAGACGGGGGTGACCTATAGCACAGTTTGCATGGCCCTTTCTCTCTCTGCACGACAAGTCAAGGGTGGTGGACTGCATTTGCTCTACGCAGATGAAAGGCCCTTGATATTGAACCCAACACGCTAGGCCTCGTTTTTCCCAGTCTCTGAACCTACTATTTGTTTGGTGTCAGGGACGCAATTGAATGAGGGAGACATTGACTCCCCTTGAGGCACAGTACCATTCACCTAAGTCTTTGTGATCATGCTTGCTTTGAGGGCTAGATCCCAGCCTTCTGTGGGCAGCATTCTATCCTTTTGTCTGCCCACCAGGAGCATGCCTGCTCAGACAGGGATCCATCCAATGAGGTGTTAGAAACCACCTTGTATAGTAATGTGACACAAAACTGTCCACATGACTTGGGTCCCATCCGGGAGGCCTCAGATTTGTATGTGTCATTGTTCTGTCAGTTGTCATGGATTCAAAAGCAATGGCCCCTGATGGTTTTTCCTTGGTCTGATTGAATTTTTAATTTCTTTATGGGAATCATTTTAGTTACTACTCACCAGAACCCTGTAAGGTATGTTTATTAACACTGTCCTTATTTGACTCATGACGCTCAGACAGGTTAAGAGACTTGTGCAAGGTCAAATACTTCATTGTAGTTGAATCAAAACTAGATCTTAAATCCCTGTCCATCTGTCTTTGAGTACAGTTGGGACCATTGCTCCCTGGTTGTTTTAGCCTCAGAATTTATTTTTCAGATTTCCATATATTCAGTATTCCTTCCCACATATATTAGTGAGACTGCTGGTTTAACTTCACATTTGTAGAATTCCCTCTGGTGGAAATATGACGCAATTGCCTTGCTCTGAAAGTGGTGATTTACCTTCTATGCCATGTAGAATGGGACATTGTCACTGGTGCTTTGAAGATCAAGAATGTATGTGTTGGCATGCTCATTGCAGCATTATTTACCAGAGCTGATATGTGAAATCAACCCAGATGTCCTTCAGTAGATGAATGAATCAAGAAGATGTGGTAAATATACCCAATGGAATTCTGTGGTTCCATCAGAAAGAATGGCATTGCCCAATTCGTAAGGAAAGACCTGGGGAAAAATATATATTAAGCGAAGAAAACCAGACCCAAAGAAAAGTAGGTTGAATGGTAACTCTCATTTGTAAGAAATAGAATATGTCTATGATATTCTTAACAGGGGATATCAATAACCCAACTGCTTTGTGCATAGGACCATATACAATGAAGCGTATCAACATGAACTCCAAGACATGGGAACAAGAGGTGCTTATTATGCCCTATATATAGTTTCTATTTCTTTCATTTTTTTTCTCTTACTTTTCTGTACCTTGTGCCTCATGTATAAATTTATTCAATCTGTGGAAGGGAAAGAGAATCACAGAAACAGCAGGACAAAGGATGAACTAATGCAACATTGACATTCACTTGTCACTATTTTGAATATGAACCTTACATCTTGGGCGGAAGGGGTAAGTGGGAATAAATGAGGGATGGGGTAACAGTATTTAAAAACAAATGCATTCCTTACCTTACTTATGTAACTGTAAACTCCTGTTCATCACCTTTTCAATAAAAAAAGAAAAAAAGGAAAATTTTCAAAATTATACTTCAATTCCAGAATTTAGATAAAAATAATCTTAGCTCGTTGAAATAAATGTTCTCAACATCCCAAAAAAATAATGTATGTGTTGGTCCATAAAAATGTTTGAGATCATTCAGAATGCATCTCTGTAGAAAATATTCATTTGGAAATTGCCAAACCAGCCCCTTATATTCTTTTCTTTTATTAGACCTTTTACTTTCTTTCTATTTTCTTTTTTTCCAGAGCTGAGGACTGAACTGAGGTCCTTGCACTTCACAGGCAAGTGCTTTTCCACTGAGCTAAAACCCCAAGCCCATGTTCTGGTCCCACCGTTACCACTCCAAGGGTTCAAATCTTCATTGCTTGAGTTTCAGGGACAGCAAAGGGACACTACAGATATAATGTCAGTGAATAAATGGCAAAGCTGTGAGCTGTCAAGGGGAAACATCCAGTGGTGTGAAGACAAGAGGGTATGTCAGGAATGTCTCCAGATAGGAGACTGTTAGAAGTCCCAGACAGGTAGATGTTGTGTACATCAGAAAAGGATTCAAAAATACCAAGCATAGAGGTGATAGGTAGAATATGTTCAGTTTGAAAAGTTTATGAACGCTTTCCCAATTGAATTTAGTCACTGACCCTGGGGCAGTAGAAATGTTTTATTTGCTTTTGTGTCTCCACTATCTGGTATGGTAGCTAGTACAAAAGCATTACATTTGGGGACCAAATGGATAAACACCACTTGTGAGGTGAAAAGTGTAATAGATGGAGAAGGATAACCAGTGGCAAGTATGACTAAGAGGGCAAGTTTGTGGAGTCCACCTCTGGAAACTGAACTGATGAGTGTAACATAGGCTGAGCAATTGTGTTTACAAGGGCTCCTCATAATTAAATTTAAATATAGAAAAATTCAATGGCTAGCACTGGTGGTTCTCACCTGCAATCCCAGCTACTCAGGAGGCTGAGATCTGAAGATCTTGGTTCCAAGCCAACCTGGGCAGGAAAAGTCCATGAGACTCTTATCTCCAATGAACCACCAGCCATCTAGAAATGCATCTGTGTCTCCAGGGTAGAGCACCATCCTGGAGTAAAAAAGCCAAGCAAGAATGCCCAGGCTCTGAATTCAAGCCCCAAGTACTAGCACACACATACAAAAAATTCAACAAAGTTTAGCATATAAAAAGGTAAAAAGGGGCTGGGAAGGTGGCTCAGTGGTAGAGCGCTTGCCTTGCATGCCTGAGGCCCTGGGTTCGATTCCTCAGCACCACATAAGCAAAAAGAAAAAAGCCGCAAGTGGCGCTGTGGCTCAAGTGGTAGAGTGCTAGCCTTGAGCTGAAGAGCTGAGGGACAGCGCCCAGACCCAGAGTTCAGGCCCCATGACCGAAACCCCCCCCAAAAAAAAAGGTAAAAAGGAAAGCACAACCACTACTTTATCTATAGTAATTTCAAGCAAGAGAAATCAGTAATATCCCCTAACATAACTATTAAACCATATTCACAATCAAATTCAAAGTTACAGAGAAGTAACAATTGACATCCCGCAGAGTTAGCACCATTAAACTGACATTATAGCACTGATATGGTACTTGATAGAGCTATTTTGGAGGTAGACATGGGGAGGATTGTGGTTTGAGGGCAGCATAGGAGAAAAGTTAGCAAGACCAAATCGCAACAAACAAGCCAAGCAAATCATACTCATTCAGTGGTACACTTACACATTCCATATTCAAAGCCACACAAACTCAGACACAGAATGGCATACTCACATGCTCATACACAGTATATGCCCTCACTGATTCACAGCCTTCTCATTTTCAGACACACCCACTCCCCCACATTCTCAGTGACCCACACTCTCGACAACACATAGGCATCGACAATCACATACCTTCACTCTCATTTAGTCTCACATACTTGGAAATTCACCTGAACACATCTGCTCCCGTGCATGCCCACATCATCTATATATACCTTCCCCTACTCCCTCACACCACTCCAGTCACAC